TTTACATAAATATTAAAAGATTCATTAGAATTAAAGTGAAACAAACCAGCGTTTATGTCATTATAGCTATTGACATTATCCTATCCATAGGCGAAGCTGAAATACAAATTATTTATACCTGCCAAAATTTGACAAAATTGGTGTCTAAGTAAAATTAATATTACTTACGATTAGGTTTTATCATTCATTGATCAACATTCATAAAATTACATATCTTGAATTAAACGTGTTTATATTGGAAAATTTAAAACAATTATAGAAATATTCGTTTATATAGATGGGCGTTGACAAATGTTACATCAGATGTAKAACGATTAGAACGTGTTAGATCAGATCATTATACTGTCGGCTATTTATAAGTTAAAATTTGTAAGTTTCAATGTATATTTACTAATGTTCGTAATCTATGGATATTGTATATTATGCCCGATATGCGTATAATAGTGTTATTATTTAGTAAGTACCTACCCATCTTTATGTACTTAAAATGGAATATTTTTCTTACTACGCAGGTTTTTCGAATGGACTTTGAATGCTATTAATGATATTTAACAGGCTATTGTGCAGCAAGTGTAAGTATACGTCCTGATGAACATGGTATGGTATTATGTACCTACAAAACTGGACGTACAAACATCAGAACACTATAAAACATTGCTACTGACATGACCATGATTATGAGAGAATTGAATTGTAAGTGGGTATTTCGTAATAAATATTACAACTTAATCGCTATATAGTACCAAATTTATCATCATCACAGTTTAAACTAATAAGTTAGCCTATAACCTTATAATATCAGTTTAACTCGGTAACCAAGTAGCAGTAATTATACTCGCACATTATAGATAGACGCATAAAATAATTTTTAATATAATATAAGCACGAGTACTTACAATGAGACTATACTATAACCAATGAATATTAGTAGAAAACGATATTGATAAATTGGTATGATATAGATAATGTTTTAGAATAAAATTATTCGATTTATCTATATTAAGTCTGAGTTTGTTGAAGGTGGCTGCTTGGATTGCTATTCGATGTTATATGTTTGTGGTTTAAAATTGTTGTCTGATGAACGTGAAACTTCGATTTGGAGATAATTTAATTTGAGAACCTCACTGGGATCAGAAATGACGATACTCGTGAAATATGATAATAAYATATAGTAGTGATCATGCGTGCCATTTACGATTTCCAGAAAATTCGAACGATATCGATATTTGAATTATGATGCCATTGTCCAATACTAGGGCCTAGATTTGTATTCAAATATATTTAAATAAATGTTTCGACGTTTCGTAATTGGTACTCACTTTTTTTTTTTTTGGCATACTTTTGAATATTTTGCATATTTGAGTAAAAATTAATATAAGTTACAAAGTTCAAAATAATTTTGCATAAAAGTCGCATATTTTATGCATATTAAAATATTAAATAAAGTAATTCATATTTTGTTCAAAGTTAGATTATATTTTTGATTACTACTAAGTTATTTTGTGCTTAAGATAATCAAACGACCAGCCTGTT